ATTTCAAAAATAAGACTTTCCCTTGTTTTCCAAATATGGAACATAGTAACATTAAATGTTCTTTATAAAAGTACATATCCTCCCTCCCCAAATCAAGCCTCACAGAGTGGAGGAAAGTCTGAACCAGGGTGGACTCAAATCTTTAATATTGAATCACCTGGACACTGCAAAGCTGTGTCTAGAAGCTTAGCCCCAGCCAACAGATGAGAACTGAATGGTTTTCAAGAGGCCAAGCTGGACTAAGTGTGGCTTTATCCCAATTTATATAAGGGCTTTTTTTTTTTTAAGACATAGTCTCACTCTGTCGCCTAGGCTAAAGTAGCATGGCGTCATCGCTCACAGAAAACCTCAAACTCTTGGGCTTAAGCAATTCTTTTGCCTCAGCCTCCCAAGGAGCTGGGATTATAAGCACCCACCGCAACACCTGGCTTTTTTTCTATTATTAGTAGAGACAGTGTCTTGAACTCCTGAGCTCAAGCAATCCCCCTGCCTCAGCCTCCCAGAGTGCTAGGATTACAGGTGTTAGCCACCACACCCAGCAGCCTATATAAGGACTTTTATACAAAGTATTTGAGAACAGGAACTGCACTCAGTTGCATTCAATAATATACCAAACCAGCTCTGGCTCTGTTTAGAGACTAGACTTGGGCCCTCGTCCTTGCCATAGACCTCCGAGGGACTTGTCACCCACAGCTTTACCCTCAGTCCCAGTACACAAACAACACAATACCTACAATCTCACAGCCAACCCACCGCCCACATCCAGGAACTAAGGGTTCAGAACCTTACTCCTACAGCTCTGACCAAATGATAACCAAGTGCTTTGTATGAATTAAAAATCTAAAAAAAAAAATCTTCAGCCAGCTACGTATAGAGAATTCAGTCTCCACCTTAAATAGCAAGCTGTCCTTGAGTAGTCCTATCTTCTCCAAATCCCCAAGGTTTCCCACAGCCTTGTTTCAAGGACTGGTAGGGCCTGTGATAACTGCAAGTTAAAAAGGAGCAAGGCCACACTTAGGGGACTCTGAGAGAGAATGAGCTGCACTATTATGGGACAGGGAGGTAAAGAGATGACCAGGTGACAGGCACCTTGTCCCAAGGATAAACTCAGCCTCCTAGCAACATGTTGTAATCACTATGGATTAGAACTATGTATAATAAAGTGTGACAGATCTCAAAAGAGCAAATGACTTACTCCTTTGCTGTCACGCCCACACAGTAACTTCTTCGAGGTCATACATTAGATAAATATGTGCACAAGAACTCATTCCTTATGCTCGAAAATCTTGTTTTCCCACTCCCACATGCTACCATCAAAAGGGGGAATGCAATGTGGGGATGATCTCCGAAAAAGGAATGGCAAACTTTCCACAGATCACATTCTCACCCTGGATGAGATCTCACCTGTGGCCTGGGGAACTCACAGAAAGACAAATTTTTGTACAACCCCAGAATTTTTCTTTTGGCAGCAACAATTGGTCATATTGCACGTTTCAAGGTTACAGAGGAGCCCCACAGTACAAATGTGGGGCAGGAGCTGATAAATATTGCTCAGGGCTTTGCAATTGAGCTAGAGCAAGTGTTTTAGAAATTGACAACGTCAGGAAGGCAACGTCTGGAAGCAGGCACCCAAGGGATTCCAGAAAACCCTTCACTCCGGAACCTTAGGGCTTCTTCATCTTGGGGCTTCTTCGGCAAAGGGGAGGGATGTGCAGATTGCCGGCTAAGCAGGGCAGGTGGGGGATGACGAGGAATGCAGTTCCTTCCGACCCCAGCAGAGGTAGACTAAGGCAGGCCAACGGTTCCTAGACAGCAAAGGCCGTTTTCTTGGCACTGGCTGGGGCAGCTCCCCTTCCTGCCCCTCTCCGATTAAATACGAAAGCCAACGACGGTGAAGATTGTGAAGAGAAAGAAAATGAAAGTCATGTCTCTGATCTCGTCCCACTGGAAGCCTTTCTTGGCCCGGTCCTCCTGCTGCTTGCGAAGGGCCTCCCGCCGGGCCCTCAGGCGCCGTTCGCGCTCCAGTTGTTCCCCGTAGTGAGCCTGGTAGAAGGCGTCGAAGTTGAACATGGTGCGGTTGGCGCCGGGAGAGGCCCGACCCCCGACATGGGCCCGAGGGGCGGCCGGCGGGGGACGGGGAAACCCAGCGTCTGCTGTGGGCGTCTTGGAGGGCCGGACGCCGGGTCCGCGCAGGTCCTCGTCGCAAAGCAGACCGCGGTCATACTTGCGACGGAGGGTGGCACTGCCCAGCACCACGTAGGCCTGGGAGATGCGCGTGAAGCGCTCGGCAGCCTCGGCGCTCCCGTTGTTGCGGTCGGGGTGGTAAAGGAAGCTCTGCCGGTAGTAGGCCGCCTTGATTTGCGCCTGCGTGGCTGTGGTGGGGACGCCGAGCAGGTCGTAGAGTGCCGTGCGCGAGTATGGCGTGTCGACCCGGGTATAAGTCCTCGCTCCCAGGCCCAGGACGGAGGCTGGATTTTGTGGCGCTTGCCAGACCTGCCACAACCTCCACCACAACGACTGCGGCCACCCGAAACCGCGGGAAGCTGCCATGCTGAATGTATTAGAAGGGCGGTGCAAAATGAACTAGCCAATGGGAAGCGCAGGTTGTTCCAGCGCTTTGGCCTTGTAGCCAATCAAGTAAAAAGGAAGGAGGGAGATGCATTGAGCATGCGTATTATCGGGGGGGGGGTCGCGGGGGCTGACGACATAAAGCCCGGGTTCCGGAAGACGCCAGTAAGAGGCGTGCTCCTGTGGCGTGGAGATGGCTTTCGGCGGTGGGAGACCGGAGCACTGCGGACCTCCAGAGCTGGTAAGGCCTGTCACCAAGAGTACCCATCTCTTAGTATTCTAGAGCCATCGCATTTGAATTCCTCCCTCCATCTGCCATTTCTTTTCTCTTTCTCGCAGTTTTACGACAAGAAGGAAGCCCAGAAATACGTTCGCAAGTGAGGGGACCCTGGATATTGCTCGGCGTTGGGGGTCGGGAACCGGGAAGTTGCCCCGATTATGGGTATTGCTTGGCAGACTTCGGGGGTAGGAGAAGACAGGGACCTAGGTTATGGCTATTTCTGCCGCAGGTAATTGAGTGACCTACTCCGGGACTTGGAACTTCAGCATTAAAGTGAGCGTGATCTTGCTTAGTTTGGGTAGGCG